GTCCAAGTTAGTATCAGAGTAAGATGAGTGAATGAAATTTGAATTCAAATTTTACCTGAAAAATGACACGCTTTGTTCTTATATAGTATGATGGTTATAAGAGCATGGTATCTTTAAGTGTGGAACACAGGGATCCATCTGATAGATCTTGGGTTTAGATCACTGAAACTCTAGACCAAGATATAATACCTACTTTGTGAGTGATGTGGTGGATCAAGGTGCTCTCTGGGACGCAACTATCGGACCTTCTGACCAACCTAGAACAATTGCCTTCCAAGCCATTGCCTCTGCTCTATAGGGTAAAGGCTTTGTTACATTTGTCTTCTTTTGGCGATCCTAACCTAACTTGAGTGAAATGTCAAGATGTCTCATTGTTGTCATTGGGAACTCTCTCCTTAATGCTCATTGTGCTTTATATGTCTTTTCATATGCTTTATCATAATGACCTTTGGGAACTAGAGTACTTGGGTGTTTTTCTAAGGAAATTTGGACTGTTGATAGTGCCTATTTTCTTTCTTTTAGTACGACTTTGCACGATCTTTATAAAATCAATTATACAATTTCTTGGTGCATTACCTTTGTTCTTTTTCGTCATTTGTACTCCTGCAACATACCATTTTCTTAACTGACGGAAGTGGTGCCTATCATGTGTCAAATATTGAAAGAGGATATTTTTGTCTCTTGGGTAAACCCTAAAATTTTTCCATTCGTTTCTATCTTTACTTGCAAAGGTAGTCTTGAAAAGGGCTTTTCTTGATGTTAATCCTTCTTCTAACCGGGACATATTGATCCTTGAGGAATATAAAAGGATTTGCAGTGGATATGGCTAGAGTGTTATCCCTTTTTTATGAGTGCATTTTTTTAGTTCTAGGTTTCTCGATTGCCCTTCATTAGTTTCATCTCGAAATAGAAATTCTAAACCATTTCATGATTACCTCATCGCAACTGAACCTAGTGAGTTGAGCCTGTATCAAAGTCTTCTAATATTGGTTTGACTATTGTGGAGGAAAGCCATCTTTGTCACTTTTCTTCCATCTTTTCAGAGTACAACAGAGTGTAAATCATGCTCAGGGTCAATATTTGATTACACTGACGTAGGTTACCCGTTACTTCGAAGCATATTTTGAAGGTGTGAAACATTTTGAAGCTCAATTCTTTTTTGTTACTCCTTTCAACGAAAAGGCTCATGTGAAGGTATGTACCATAGAGACTAGAATAGAAAACCGATGTACAAGATTGTTTCATAAACTTTGGAACCAATTCTACTTTTTAATAGGGAATAGATCATATGTCTACAAGGAGAGTGATATGTCCCAAGATAAGCTTTACTTGAAAAAAATGGCCAGTCACCTTTTTCAAAGAGTTGGATTACACCAGGGGCGTTGTCCATCTGGATGAATCCTTAAAGAAATGCTTGAAACAACTCATAAAAACCGCCCATTGATGGGTGCCAACACCAAGGGGGAGAGGAAGTCATCTTTGGTAAGCTTCTAATATCATTATCCTTTGATGTCAATTATTTTTACCTATAACGTTCTTGATGTTTTGATCATTGTTATATGTAGATTCAATGAAGTGTGAGAAAATAATTCATCAAATAAAGATGCGAGTTCAAATTGTTCTGTAGATTGTCAGTCCTTCAAACGTTCCACATCTACCATCATCCTTGCTTTGATCGGAGTGGTGACGATAGTAACTTGGTCCCCTTGCGTGGATTTACCGCAGACTCGAGGAGGAAATGCTCGGATGCTTTATTTGGAAGTTAATATTTTTTGAGATAGGTGAATGGTGTTGCATGCTGTAGGCCCTCAAGCTCTTGTCTTATTGACTCGACCCGAACCTCATAATCCAAGAGAATATTAGGCGTCTACCTCAGAAGAAGATTTCTCCTACCTCGTCATCCTGACTGACGAGGCTCTTGAGGAGGAATTGTCGTCTTTGGTGTACTACACCCAAAAAGTTTATTTCGTTCTGGATATTGGTGGGGCCTACCATATGAGAGACAATTGTTGCAGGATAGTGTATGTAATCTAACGCTTCAGCGTGATACGTACTTGCAAGAAGTACAAAAGAGTTTTGTTTTTCTTATTGGGATAGGCGACACCTTGAGTGATTTCAATCTCCTTGACTTTTTAGTTAACCAGGTAAAGTTACTAATGGGGAGTGGCAAAAAAAATATAAAGATTTGGCTTTTGCACAGGCTTCAATATCCGATACGAAGACATTTATCTCAACCGCTCAGGTGAATATGAAGAGTTTATGCTTTGTGAATCTCTCTGACCCAAAAAATAAATAAAGTGACTCATGCTAATCTCACAATTGTCTCTAATCCTTTTGAGAATGCTTTATTGAAAGTAGAGCATTTTTACCCTCCTTTGCATATTTTGAGGGAGCAAGTACGATAGGATCATATATTTAAAGATGAGAAAGCTCTCTCGCTCTGAGATTAGTCATGCCATTCTTTCTTTTTATTGACATTCTTACTTGGTTTTATTATGTAATATAACATATTGCATTAGGGAACATGAATATATGAATTTGAAATTTGGATATTGACGTTACCTGATTAAGGTGTGTGTGTTAGATCCTGAGTTTATAGCTTTGGGCTTTACTTTAACATATGAGGTTTTTGCTCGAAGTTTATTGGACGACTCGGAGGCCATGCCCGACCAAGGTTCAGTGCCTCTTTCCCTACCAAGGTGAAAACCCGGTTCGAGGTTGACGTGTGGAATACCCCATATAACCTTTAGAGTGGCTAGCTACAAAGAGGGAGACAAGCTAGTTATTGCAAATTTAGTTGTTTTCCCACTTTCTTTGTGTGTGTTTTTTGCATTCTAGGTTTTTGATTGCTTTAGTCGTACGTATGTGTTATTTAAGACATCGTCTCCGAGTCTTGTATTGGGACATTTATCTATTCGGTTGTAGCTGGATTCTTCAATACCTTCCACTGTTACAAAGAAAAGAGATATTTAAGAAGGATATTCTTGTTTGAGAAGATATAGAGGGTAGGTGTCTTTTTCTTTGTGGTTGTGAGTTTTTGGTGGTACCTCCGAAGGTTATTTTTATGTTGCTAATGGTTTATTTTAGCTTAGATCTAGCTTGTTCAACCTTGGGATGTTTTTTTTCTGTTGCCTTTTTTTGTTTGTTTTGGGCTTGTTGGATCTTCTATTAATTGGATCTCATTTAGATTATCATCTGTATTTAGCAGTCTAACAACCGTTTTTCTCACCTTTAATAAAAAGCGAAGAAGTAGAGGTACCAGAACTACTAAGCTAAACTACTATCACCGAAAAAAGAGATTTTAAAACAATAAAATATAATATAATACAACAAAAAGCTAAGACATCCTGAAGAAAAATGGAAGTAAAACAATTGGAGATAACACTAAACATATATATAACATAATATGATATATCTGATCCTTCAAGAACCGCTATAAACAGAAACAAAAAAACACCAAGCACACCCTAACAAAGGAACAGGCGAAGACTCTCGAATCGCTATTGATCTAGACGGAGAATAAGACTGTCAAGCTAATTAGAGAAAGTACATGAGGTAGTCAATAACTTTCCTTTGAACCATTTTCAAACAAGGAAGATGGTCTTATATTCTACAACATCATGTAAAGACCATATCATTGAAGAGTTCCCATTTCGGCCAGACTATTGCATGCCAAATTAGTTAAAAAAAACATCTCTAGTCCTATAAACCTCACACAAGAAAACAAACAACTGAAAAGGTGAAAGGAGATCACTACGAAAAATTAAATTCATCCAATCCATCTAAATATTCAACAATAAGATTGTCGGCCAACTCACAAGTAACTAACAATAACTAAACTTATTCCCTCACATATAGAACACCTCACACCCCAGGAGTCACAATAACCCCCGCTTAAAAAGATTAACCTTTAAGAATAAACCCTACTTAAAAGATTAACCATGTTGGGGATTCTATCCCGCAAGAGTTGCAAAGAAAATATCACCACTTTATGAGGTGTTTAGTTGCCCCGAATAAGCGATTGAAACGAAGAAGAGTCTCAAATATTTTATGGGATACAATAATATCTCTCAATCTAAAGAAAATTTTATTAGAAAGGCTTAAAATCGATAATTTTGTACACGATAGAGTGTTGAGATGTAAGGATCCAACACAAAAATAAATCAAGTATAGCGAAAATAAAGACGTTGAGTCGGATGTATGATAAAGATTAATCATGAAATAATTAAAAATGACAACAGTAAATAAATAGTTTAAAATCATCAATATTATAAAAGATGATGAAAATCAAACTTACTTAATTTTAACATTTTAATATATAAAAAAAATCTATAAATTATATCGTACTGAGAGTAAATAAAATACGGTAACACAATATTATCATTTCAAAATAATAATATCACTAATTATAAATCTAAAAAATAATATTTGAATATTTATTAATGTCAATAAAAAAGGTTTGAATAATCTTAAAAATATGGTTGCTAGTACGTGCTAACGAGTAACCACCACGCCGGTGGCCGGCATCCGAGACCCATAATTTGGACCTTGCCTGTCTGTCCGTGTGGACATATTAACCAATTGAAAGATACTCCTAACTTTCATTCCAATGCGACAAACCGTCTAACCCATCCAAATATTTCGTTTTCGAATCATACATTAACACTGAAAAGGGATTAATTATTTAAATTAGTTGCGTATTTCTTTTTTACACTTTTTTAATTCGAGATTCTTACAAAAATTTAAAAATATTTGATTCCCTATATAAAAAAATTCGTTGTTATAGTCAATGAAATTTTAATCAAATTCTACGATGAACCCATAAAATACTCTAGAAACTGGATAGGATCATAGAACATTAATATTTTGATTTTGATACTTCACTTTCCCTGGACCATAGAATTTTCCGCGTTGACTTAGCTAAAAAATTATGCCAATTTATAAATAATCTAATTTTGCATAAACTTTCTTCAATTCATTATTGTTTACTTTATGCAGCAATGCCTTCCTTCCAACATTTAATCATCATCCTCTTCTCATCATTGCTCCTCCACTTCTCCCAAGCTGACGTTGGCACCGCTTCCCACTATGGTCCCCCCTTTTTACGTAAGTGCCCCTCCTCCGTTTCCTCTGCTCTTGTTATATGGTGCATCAGACAAAATATATCTGATGCACCTTAAAATTAGGGCAGAAGTGAGGATCCAATTCAACAAATTAGAATAGTGATTAATGAAATTTTTGTTGATGTGTTATATGAAATGTGACGAGACAGCGACGGCGTGTTTTGGGGGAGGTGCGTCGCAGTTTCCGTCGACCAACATGTTTGGTTCGGCTGGAGAGGGTATATGGGACAATGGCGCAGCATGTGGGAGGCTGTACGAGGTGAGATGCATCAGTGCAGCTGTTGCAAGAACTTGCATTCCTGGTCAAACGGTTCAGATTAAGATTGTTGATAGAGCACAATCCTCTGTTTCTAGGCCTTCAACTGATGATACCTCCATGGTTCTTTCCACCACTGCTTTTCAAGTCATTGCAAATGTTTCTTCACCATTGATTAACATTGAATTCCAACAGTAAGTGTTATCTTATTCCTATGTTTACTTTTTTTTTAGAACTTCCTCTAGTTTTACTTGTAAGAAAAAGATGATTTTTTTTAAATTTATTGACTAATTAATGTATCAGGTCCATAATAAATTTTAGATACATTAATTATTTAATAAAGTTAAAAAATAATTTTTTTATAAATAAGACTGGAATCGAAAGTAATATTAAATAATTAATATAATATTTATTTTTGTGTTGGTTGTGTTTTGGTTAATTAGTTGTTGAAAAATCAAATGTTGAATTGTGGACTTAATTTTGTTTATATTTGTGAAAATGAGAGGGTTGAAAATTAAAAGTTGAGAGTTTATGAAAACTACATTATCTTTTAGTTAGGTATTAAAGTAATGTAATTTTCATGTGCAGGGTTTGAAAATTTGAACAAAGGGAGGGTAGGAATTGGAACATGTGAATTTGTTGATGAGAAGTTAAATTTTGTTGTGACTGAGGAATTTGTATGAGTATTTAAAATTCTAATTGTCAATATTGATGAACATTTATATGGATATTTTCTTCTCAAGATTAGTCATTTGAATAATTTTGTGGATTTTTCAAGTTCAAAGTGACGAATACAAAACATATTAGTCTATGATTGGATTGTTGTTGGAAAACACCAACTTTATGGTGACTGCAAAGAAACTAAGAGCATCCACACTCATTAACCACATTTTGATTCTTTAAACGAGACCCACATAATTTTTTATATTATATTATATTTCTATATTTTCTAAACAACTCAACTACATCTTTCAAATATCCATACAACTCATTAAAAACTCTAAAATGGGTCCCACCAATTTTCAAAATAAATGTCCATATAATTATTGACCTTTGAAATATAATATTTTAATATTAATTGAATAAAAAAGTACAGGAAAGAAACGTTCTCAAATGTGAAAACGTATGCAAATGTAGGAACGTTTTATTTTTTCAAATATCCATTTAATTCTGACATAATGACTTTGGAATATGTGTAAAAATAGTTTACATCTACCGATAATTATGCATGTGCTTAACTAGTGTTTGTTGGAGTTTTTCAATGGTACATCAAAACATATGCTAACGGTTCAATTATTGGGCAATTATTGATTTGAATATTCGTAAGTCATGATTGATCCCACTAATTGCGAAATCAAGGTGCAAATCAAAATTTTATTATATAAATAAGACAGGCTGACTTGTACCCTTACGTGCAAGTTAGGAAATATAATATAGAAATATTTTATCTTTTATTCAGAATTAATAGAGTTAATGTATTATTTTAGACATGATTGATGTGTTAAAGACTTATCATATATAATGATTGAAGCTTTATTTAGATTCAGGCCGCAATCTTCTCCCCTAACTTAATTTATGGTTTTCTTTTACTGTTCTATTCAGTTTTGAAATAAAAAATCCTACACTACTTCAGTTTGAAATTTATTTACGGAACTACTCCATTTAAGTAGGAGCTCGTCCACTGAATAGACAAGGAGGTGCAGCGAAATATGGGTCTGTATGAGTTCGTCCACTTATCGGGCGAGTTAGTGCTTTACAAAGCTGGACCTGTGGAAACTCGTCCACCCAATGGACGAGCATGTGAAAGAGTCTTTTTTATTTTAATTTTTTTCTGTTTTATTTATTTAATGATTTACAAAATATATTTTAAATACTATAATTAATAATTAATACAATTAATAATTAATATTAGAATAATATATTTTAATAATTTACTAAATATATTTTAAATAATTACTATATTTTTAATAATAAATAATAAATTTTAAAAACTAAAAATATTATACTATATTAATAATAAGTTTTAAAAATTAAAAATATTTTAAGAATATTAAAAATATTAACTAATTAAAATATTTTTCATTAAACTAAAAAATTATATATTAAATTAATTTAATTATATTTTATTTTATATTAAATAAAAAAATAATGACTAATGTTCGCACATGGAGGTTTGAATTTTTTACAGACTCTCGGTCATTGAATGACCGAGCTCAAACGTAATTTTTTTAATAAATAGACGCATTGCGCACCAGCAAATATCATTCGTGTCCAGTGATCCGTTTTATAAAAATGTCTGTGCAAGCTGTTGTTTTTTATGGACCATTCCAAGGGCGAGCTTGTGAGGTGGTTTATGAGCTCGTCCATTCCAAGGACGAGCTTGTGAGGTGGTTACAGAATTGGTTTTGCATGCACACGACATGCTGTAAGAAGCCTAATCAAGCTATAATCAAGCTAGTTTGCATGCATGCAAGCAAATGTGTTGCCATGCAAGGGTCTTTTCACACATTTAAATTAAAATTTATTACATCTAAAATTTGAATTGCATTCACCCTACTATAAATTCAGATTTATACATCAAAATTTTTACACACATTTTTTACTTCCTTAACTCTCTAGCATTTCTACACACATTATTTACTTCCTCTACTCTCTTGCAATCGTAATACTCAATTAATATGGCATTGTTATGGATGGACGATGAACACCGTGGAACACAAGAAAATATCCAAGCTAGTGTAAGTTTTTCCTCTATTATTTCGTAGCAAAAATAATGTCTATAGTTGTTTGGTTAAATATTATTTCGTAGCAAAAATCATGATTACATTTTGTTGGTTTAATATTGTTGCAGACTAATGCCCCGAGGTTTAGAGTGCATTCCATTCTCCTATTCAAGCGATTCAGAGAATAATGACTTATCTTGAAATAGCAGGTTTTGCACATATATAAAAAATAAATAGTTTAAAAGTTGACTCAAGTTTAGTTGTGGCTCGGTTGGAGAAATGGAGACCCGAAACACACACTTTTCACTTCCCAACAGGTGAATGCACAATAACGCTTGAAGATGCGTATATGTTACTTGGTCTACAAGTTGATGGAAAAGCTATCAACGGTCCCACCGAAGTAACAAACACTATTTACATGGAAAACTTGGGGGTGGAACCTACAGAAGCGAATAAAATTAAATGTTCTGTTAGGATCAACTGGCTAGAGAGTTTATATGAAACTTTAAAAAATAAACCTGCCCCCACACAAGAAGAAGTTTTGTTAGAAGCTAAAATTTATATTTTACTTGTAATCGCTACTATTTTGTTTCCTGGCAAAAGTCAGAACCTATTGCATTCTTCTTGGATCCCTTTCTTAGGGGATCTTGTTATATGCGGCACCTATAGTTGGGGTTCTGCATGCCTTGCAAAACTATACAGAGAAATGTGCAAGGCAGCAGTCAAAGATGTTAGGAGCATGAATGGTTGTGCTCTTCTACTAACTTTTTGGGCATTCACACGTATACCATTGTTCGCTCCTGTCAGTACAGTGGAACCCTCGTATCCATATGCACAAAGGTATTTCTGTATTAAAACACCCATTTATGTGTACATAATATATATATATATATATATATATATATATATATATATATATATATATATATATATATATATATATATATATATATATATATATATATATATATATATATATATATATATATATATATATATATATATATATATATATATATTTGTTATTCAACTATGCCTAACAATATTATATTTTTTTTGGTTATACAAGATGGGCGCAAAGAAGAATGAATTACAATGCAAATCCTCGATGTCTACGGTGAGACCTCTACATAGAGTGTGACAACTTTAAACCTAAGGCTAGGTTAGGCGGAAAAGTAAATGTCCATGGCAGAACAACCTACACAGAGTACGGTGACTCTAATCCTAAAGTTAGGATAAAGGATAAGGAAATGGTTAAAAAGAAAAGAAGAGTGTGAAACGAGGGAAAAAAGAAAAGGTTGCTCGCCAAGGATCGGGGCCTTGTGCTTACGTATTCTCAAAAGGAACTTTGAGAAATCAGAGCGTCCGTAGTTCGTGGAACTACGAGTTGCCAAGTTCTAAGAACCAAGAACAACTAAGGCAGATAAGTAAGGAACATGCATAATGACAATAAGTCAACACACAGTCCCTTCCATGGAATTAGGTCAACAAGGAATAGAAGTAAATCAACATGTACATGGAAAAAAATCAGTACAAATAGAATCAGGCAACAAATAAAATTATTAATCAATTTTAATATAAATATTTAACAAGATTAACTAATAATTTAATTAATCAAATTAAATACAAATATTTAAATTAATTAATAATTACAACATATATTTTTGCATTTTTAAATATTTAACAATTAAGTAATAAAAGATAAATAATTAAAAATCCCTTTTTGTCTTTCCAAATACGTTACAAATTAAAATAAATTAAATAAATAAATAAAGTAAAAGAAAAGAAAAAAAACCTGATAAAGATTAGATGATGGAGTATTGTGTCTAGATGGAGGATGATGTTTTATGTGAGGTTAGAGGTACCATAAAGAAAAAGAAAATATAGGTGGTGCTTTATTATTGGGAAAATGAAGGTGAGTTATTCATATAATGGAAGATATTTTGTATGAAAGAGTGATGATAAAATATGGTGAATAGTGAGTTTTTTAGTTTTTGTGGAAGGTGGTAAGGAAAAGAGCATGAAGTGTGAGAGTGTTTTTGTGAATGTGAAAAAGTAGTATGGTTTATGTGGTTTTTATAGTGAGAAAAATAGTAGAAAGTGGCACTAGTAGAAAAAAATACTTTATAATAGAGGTTGTTAAGTTAGTTCACCTGCCACCTGACTTAAGAAGTGATGCGGTGGCAATTTTGTAAATATTTGTAACATTGTTAGGTCAATTACATTTAGAACTGACTTAAAAAAAATTAAAGAAAAAAAATATAATTCGTATTAAATTTCTTAAGTCGCCTGTGTTCATTAACCGACTTAAAAACATATTTATTAAGTTAGGTATTGCCCACCTGACCTAAGAAGTTTTATTCAAACCCTTCTTCTTCACAACAAACCCTTCTTCTTCACAATAATCCGTTCCACCACACCGTTTCCAACACACCTCTCCATCTTCGTTCTCTCCTCCTCCAACTCTCCACCTCATCACCCAAATCTTTCCTTCATCAATCCCTTAACCATCACCTGCGACACCCTTTCCTTTTCTCTATTTCCTCTCATCTCCTCTACCCTAAAAGCTCCACCTTCCCTCCACAGTGACAACAACCCACGCCTCTCTTCACTTCTCTGTCGAAAATCAACTACCATCAGATTTTATCCACCAAAATCAAAATCAGAGTAGCCATGTTGCTTCGCCGTTGGTTTTACTAATCAATGCAGGCTAAGGTGATTTTACTTATCACATATATTTCTCCAGTTGGGTTTCTTCCTAAAAATTCGGGATCAAGAAGAAAAAGGCTCATGGCTTCGGTGGAGCAAACAACAACACAAATATTTTATGTTCCTCCTCACAAGCATTCTCAGTTTCTGGAAGAGGGTTCAT